TTTGTTAGCAGTGATAAAGTTATCCAGACAAGTTATTATTGTGACTTTGTAGCCAGATGGGTATGATTTTGCTTTGGCTGTTCAGCATTTTGATCCATTGTGATATGGCTTGTGGTACCTGTGAATGATTTTACCTGCAAAATGAATGACAGAATATCAGAATGTAACATTACATTAAGATACATCCTACATTGCAATTATATAATTATGTAGTAGATGCATGTTCAGTGTGAAGAATATGGTCTTTGACACTCTTTGTGTATAATAAACATGCTATTGTGTAATGGAAATGATCAAATAAAGTTATTTCTGCAACAGCCCTTGCATTCAAACACCTTATTTGTATTTTTCTTGTTCATGCTTGAGCATCAGCCTCAGGATAAGCAAATTCCATTGGATTTGTGAGGGCACTTGAACTATATATTGGGTCATTACATGAATAAGTGGAATAACAGAAAATATTCAGACTCCCACAGCCTGTACTACAAGTTACAGCTGTGACAGTGTAGAGGGGGGATCCACAAGTAAAATGTGCTGGAATATCCAAGGGGGGGGGGGGGTGATACAAATAAAAAAATGATGTTTAATATGACTTAAAATTATTAAGCAATTGAGTGCGCCAGCACTTTCCCCTTGACAAGTAAAATTATCTGGTATTGGACTGAGTAAGATAACAAAGTAGGGCATAGTGTTCCTTAATTAATCACTTATAATAAAGGTTTAAATGCTGAATTTTTTTAAAGTGCCAGAGTGGCAACTGGCAGGGTACTGAAAAGGTAGGTTGTGCACATGCATCCTAAATAAATACTGCTACAAAAACCTGGTATTTAACAGTTAAAACCAATCCCGAATTTCATTATTTTAAAGTAATATAAAATAAAACAAGTCGGGAAAAGGATTTTGAACCCAAGATATGAGACAAAATTTAATTTACAGTATGAGAATGAGTTTGAATATAAAGAACAACAAAAAAGAGGATACAAAACTACTGTGATATTGTTGAAATTAGCAATATTATACATTTGCTGTTTATAACGGTAGTTTTTGACATAATGTATTTACGCTTTTCCATCGAAATGGCAAGTTTAATAAATTTGCCCGAAGCAGCCCAAGCTTTGGCAAGCTAGAACTTAAAAAAAGTAAAAGAAATAAAACTTTTGTGAATCTTACGTACCTGAAAACAAGAAATATAATAATCCTTTCGAGTGAATTGTTTCATCTACAAGCAGATTAAAAACTTAAAACTAACACACTTTTTTCTCGACTGCAAAAATATCAAAATGTTCAGTCGAAACTCGAAAATTATGATCAAAATTTTTGCAAAAACCAGGGGGGTGAAGGATTTTATTTCAAGCGTAGGATCGCGGTTGGTCAGTGGTAATTGCCATGAGCCGGAGGAACCAATTGGCGTCAGCAAACATGAAAATCCGCCATGTTTTTCCGGACACTCGTTTGACTGACGGATAGATAGGAGCACGTCCTCCAGTAATATTATAGCTCAGTGTTCTTTACAGAGACCCCATTATTTTGTATACTGGCTATGCTTTTTGCGATTGAATATTAAAACATTTACCTCGCTTTACATGGGAATCTATATTTTACAAAGGTTTCCTGCTCAAACGGTTATATATCTCGTCATACACTGTAAAAATAGGTACGCACTGCGTACATGTGGCTAGCCTATTCAGCCTGTCAAATACAGCTGGAGTTTATATTGCCATGGATAGATAGATAGATAGATAGATAGATAGATTGATTGATTTAATAAGAAAACACATTGCAGCCGAGTACGACTGGATTGCGTGTTACTTTACAACAATGGTAATTATGAGAATAAAGTTTATCTAAAAAAGGTATATAAAAGAACGTTACAAATATGTTAAAGTATGTAACTCAGTATATAAATTATGTATTTACAAAGTTAAAACTACGAATATTAGGCTTAAGAGAATTCTTTAATACAAGAAGGAATAAATGTTTTTAAAAATCTATCAGTTTTAATCACTGGTGTTTGGAAGACACGTATACTACGCAAGTCATTGGTGATAGGTGGACGTGCAGGAAACAAATTCAACAACTTGTGTGCAGGGTCCTTAGTTATCTGATTGTATAGTTTGGAGCAGGCATGCCTTCGACGATCGCTTAAGAGTGTCAAGTTAGCTTTATCCAGACGCTCGCTGTAAGACAAACCGGGAAAGATTATGGATGTAACTCTTTTCTGGACTCGTTCTATGTTATCACTGAGATACTTGGGCAGAGCAAAGTGAAATACCTCACAATCGTATTCCAGAACCGGTCTGACACTGCAACAATAAAAGTTTAGAATTTCTTTGGCTGGTATTTTAGCTCGTTTTAATTGGACTATGAAGAAGATTCTCTTGTTGGCTTTCTTTATTATGTTTTTATTTAAATTCGATTTTGAATTGTGCTTTTATCTGCACATGCAAATTATTTAAAATTAAGAACCAAACATTTACTGGCAGATCACAAGAATGAAATATTATAAATGATGCAGGTATAAATTTAAACAACATTTAACTCCAGCTATAAAATTATGAACATGCTGCTCAATTGACACTGGGGGTGGCAGACATGAATAGCAATGACAATGTTTTTATATTATAAAATGACAGATTTACAAATTATAGGCCTAAACATAAATATCGATTGAAATAGCAAAACCATTTTATTTTCCGAACATGAAGTATCTAAAGTAGTTGTCATGGTAACACGATAATTTTTAAGAATATTCTTACAAATGAAAAATCGCCTAAAAATATCACTTTTAATTACAAAATTATCAATTTCCCAACATATATATGTTTGGTATGTTATTATACGTAATATAAGCTTCAATTTAAGGTAAAATTCAACCACACAAACGCTTCGCAAAACGTTTTAAAGTGTTCTTTATAAAACTAAACTGCCTTTAATTAAATGGCTTTATCGATAAACTTTGAGTTTGCAATAAAATGATTTCAAATTCTCGCTTGCAATTGACTTTGCTTTCTTTTTTATTTAAAAAATTCAATATAATAAAAAAGGGAATCAATATTATTAAAGATACACTGAAATTATATGCTGTCTTGTAAAAGTTGTTTCATATACGCAAAGGCCGTCGGATTTTAATTTAAAGTCATTATAAAATCAATATTTAAAACAAACTTACCTTCGTTAATATATAGTTTAACACACCCTGATAATACGGCAACTTTTCAAAGGAAATATTAAAACACTTTATATAAAACTTATATATTATAGGAAGTTATTGTTGTAATAGAGATAATATAGTTTTAGCGAATTTTAGCCGTTTAGCCGTCGGTTTTCTGTTTGACTTAGAAATTTTTCTTAAAATATTAAAAAAAAATTTTCCCCAACTTTTTTAATATTCAAATAGTTTATTAGACATTTATGGGTTACAAAAGGTTAGAAAAGGGTCGAAGGGTTTGGGGTTGGGGTCTGTTTATATCTTAAATATTCCAACTGCAGTACGAATAGCAAATCAAACTCGGCTTATTGTTCCAGTACGAATAGCCACTTCGTAATTTTAAAGCAAAAGTATGCAAGGGAAACAATAGTTCTGGGTCTTGACTTATACAGTGTTCCGAGTTTACAGTATTAAAACGTTCATACAAATGGGTGGGGGGGGGGGGTGTATAGATTTTTCAGTATTTTATAGGGGGTCTTCAACATTTAGATCATCAAGGGGGGAGCGCTACAAGATTTTTGTATATGACATAAGAATCCCCACCAGTATAAATAATGAACGGTCCCTAAAAGTCCTGCTTTTTGTTTTGAAATCCACAAAACCTACCGCTATATATATGGTTTGCTATTGACTTCCTGTTAAAGCTCAAAACTACATACACTTGGTTATTTTGAATCTTCTTTGGGCACGGTAGTTAAAACATTAATATATAGCAATGACAGCTGATTTTGAAAACCTTGATAGACCTTTCTTATAATTATGGCGTCAGCGTGCATAAGCTATTTTGTGACGTCAAACGCGGATAAACACTTCATTTTCGATTTTCTTGTTTGTTTTGTTTTGAAAGTTTTTCTCCAGGAAAACCCCACAAAAGCGGTAGGTTTTGCTAATTTTATTTATTTAAATCAATTAGTAGGTAAAACGTGATGTTCTCAATGCATGTTGATAGAATTTAGTGTATATTTCCCTCTTGAACGTTGTCAAAGTGACTGAAAAACAAAGCAGTAATGGCTACGGATACTAAGACGAGAGATTGTCTCACTATTTTATTTTCGATTTTTTGTCCCGTTTTACGGATTTTTAAACTATTTTTTGTGTTTTATTAAAAGTCAACAATCAAATTATCCTACATAAGACATGCCATACTGCAAATCCTCTGGAAATTGTTATAATTCGACCTCTAAAAAGAAAATATCCTTCATAAACTTCATATTCTGACTGGCTCATTTCGGGACTTCAGCCCTCAATCAACTCTAACTACACTCCACATTATAACAATAGGCACGTTATGCGTACATGTATCTATGCAAAGCATTGAATTTGCTCAAAGTATTAAATTTGCATTGTTGCTATGAAAATAACTGCATTTGTAGTTGTTGATATTAACCTTATTGGTCATGATTCATGTCACAAAGAATAATCAAAATCAGTGAAAAACTTATTGGTAGATTACAGTCTATTCTTTAAATCAACTGTTCTGCGTTCAAAAAGTTGAAGTAAAATAATCATCCGGCATTAGACAAAGTAGTGATCAGTGAACTGGTAGTAACTGGTCAATTCTGGGGGTATATATGGGAGTTGTATTTTTGCATTAAATTTCAGTGCATTGTATTTGGGGAATCCCTCCAGCTTTCATGACACACTTGATACAATTTTGTTTTTCAGTAACCACAATTAACTAACATTATTATACATTTAATATGTATTCTCGTTTCTAATTGGTCAGAAAGCACCGGCTAATTTTCAGTATTCGGCAGTTATTACGTATTTTCCGCCGATGACGTCATCAGCGTCCAATAATTGTTTTTTTGGATCGAACTTGCATCCCCAAAAAAATATTATTGGACTCTCTCGTGCCCAAACCTTTGCGCGGCCAAAAGCTTGAACCTATAAGCGCGCGAAAAAAACAAACAAACAATGGCCTACAGCAGATTTGCTTCGCTGAATGAAAGTGAACTCTCCAAATTATTGGCAGATAAGGATAGTGAAAGCACGAAAAAAGCCGCAAAGGGTAAATAGAAATGGAATATTTAGCTGACCTTTGACTTTGTGCAAGGTGTTTGATATTCAAATTGTACTTTTCCTACCTCATGAACAGGAATCGTTTTATACGTTTCTCATGTCTTTAAATGTATAATAAAACAATTATTGGATTCGATTTTCGCATGATATCATGATAACATGCTCAGCCTCATCCAATAATTGCTTATTAATTAAAGATGCTGTAAAGTCCGTTCTGCGCAAATATTCTGCGTATCAACACATTCCATCAGTGGGGGAGCAACCTTTGGAATGTTATTAATATTTCGCACCTTCCGAACTCTCTTGAATTGAATCTCGACTCTGCATTCATTTACAAGCACAGCGAACCAGAGGAGTGTTAAAAATTCACTATAATATATATTTAATCATATTTTACAAAATGTAAACAACGCGTTTGTTTACATTACGATTTACGGACTTTACATCATTAACAAAAGTTATGATTATAAAGCAGAAAGTTATGATCAACAAAATGATGAATACCCCAACTTAAAATTTCATGAAGGCATCCCTGTACCCCCTAGAAAGTTAACACCTTTGGGATGCATTGTCTTGTACTTCCAGAGCTTCTCTTAAACTCCACATTAGCATTCTTGACCAGCGCATTTCACTTTCAGCTATGTAACGTATTAAGACTATTTTGTATTTTGTATTTAACACCGCAATCCATTCCTGCTCAAAACCCTTGACACATTTATACACATTTTCAGTGTTGAGTATAACTTTTCCCACAATAACAACTATATTTCTACCCCCTTAGCTCATACAATGTTGTCCTTTGTGCAACTGCCTTGCACGTAGTCACTCAACATTCTTTCATCTCGGGAAACGTCAAGTAAGACCAGTAAAGCACAGCCAGCGTGTTATAAAAAACCGATTAATATACGATCGATCACTGTGGAAATATCATGTGGATCACACTCATCACCGCATTTCAAATTTATTTTAAATCACATACAAACGTTTAGACAAAAAACAAACTCTCACCTTGTCACAGTACATTTTTATTGTATTGTTGTTTGTGATGACAGATGTTAATAATAGCGATGTACTATTATTAATTGTAGACTTGTACATAAATCACTGATATAAATAGAAGCATAATTTCTTGGAATTAACAACGACCACAAATGCTTAAAAAATAGAACAATTTTATTGTTTACAACGTTTCGGAGTGTTACTCCATCTTCAGGTAATAAAGATTGCTGTTTTTTAAGTGTTGCACTCGCAATCTACTTGCGCAAGTTGCTTGCGCGAGCATGCAAGGAAGGTTGTAAACAATAAAATTGTTCTATTTTTTAAGCATTTGCGGTCGTTGTTAATTCCAAGAAATTATACGAAATGAGGCTTAGAGACAGTTCGATACTAAAATTATAAATAGAAGCAGCCATTTTGTTTTTTTAAGGTTGCCTGTTCGCAGGCATGTACATATTTAATGTATGCAGCCTGAGTGTTAACCCACAAACAACGCGATAAACTATGCTTCGCATAGATACAAAAACATTTGTTCACATTCATATTTATATTGTAATAACATTCACTATTACTGTATTATCCAATCTTATTTTTATCTTGTATAATAACTGTAAATTAAAATTCACTTAACAAAAATAATCACAAACAAGACGCCTACTCAGGCGTTCACTCCGGGTACAGGGCCTTAACTAAGCGAAAAGCTACTTTAACGTATGCTTATATATACCAATGAAGGTATCTTTAATGCATGATATTTAGCATAGTTAAAGTTGGAAGAGTGGGAGAACTACAGTGTAACCACTTGGCCAGGTGACTAAAAACATATGCAATGATCATAATATTTTATAACATAAAAATAAAAGGAAATTGTGACACTGATTATCTCTAATAAAAGCTATCTAGTTCTTTATTAAAAGTTCTATTTAAAACATGAGTAGGAGTGTTTTATGATGGGGGGGCTCATCACGAAATCACGAAGATCATTTTTCGATTTCACGAGTCACGAAAAACAAAATTCCATTTTCACGATTTTTAGAAACACAGAAGCGTAACAAAGTCTGAAACCATCTAACACATACTGACTTTAATATTAGAGCCGTTTAAAGGACAATGGAAATCATTGCGAGGCATTACGAGCATCGTACGATGGTTCACGAATTTTACGAAGAGGTACGAAGGTATACGATAACGACGTTTACCGATGAAACGAAGAAACCTCAAGAACTAAGACAACCGCGGGAAGCAAATTTATAATTTTTCTCCCATAATATTACATTTGGGCCGAGTTTTAAACGTAAACATTCACAAGTTAGGGTAAAATATTTGTAAATTCAAGACCATAGCTAGCCTTTTAGCTCTTCACGATTCACGGCACGCATATTAGTCACGATTCACGGAATGGTATTTCTTTAAATCACGAGACGGGAAACTCGTCTCAGACGGGGAACTCGTCTAATATGAATCCGGGCGCAGACGAGTTTCCCGTCCGAACTTTCCCGTCTAACTTACCCGTCTAAACAGACGGGAAAGTTAGACGGGAATCTCATCTAGACGGGAAACTCGTCTTAAATTCGAATTTACCCGTCCCTAAATTCA